TTTTAAGTTATGTGTTAGCTGGATTGCAACTTGCATATTAAAGGTTGTTTGCAGCGCACTCTGTGGCTGTTTTGGGGGCCCGATCAGTTCATACAGTACTCAGGGCCTTCATTATATACAGGATGATGTTGGAATGTACAGTGTGCGTGCTCCTGGTGTTAATGCATGAGATGGGCAGTTTTAGATTTCTGTAAAACACCCAAATCAGACATTTAAAGAGATGCTGTGATGCACTGTGATACTGCCAAAACCCTAAGACCCTAATTATTAGGTTATTAACTTGTCTGCATAGTTTTGTTTCATCAGTTCTAAACAAGTATACAGTGTAAGTGGTGTTGTACCTGATGATTTCTTTTTTTAATTTAGATAAAAAGAAAATATCACAAAAGAAAAGACACAGTTGGGGATTTTTTTTTTTTAAATCTCTTATTAAACCAAAATCTTTTTAGAATAAAATACTATGCACAGAACTCTTAAAATCTGTTTTTAATCTTTTACAGAGAACAGTGGCTGACTGACTTAATGAAGGCAAAAAAATATCAGAACATGTAAAACAAACAAAATAAAAAAAAACCTCATCAAAACCATTGTGCAACATAATCTGCTGACCATCTGTTTGTTTCTAATGTTCCAAACTTACTGTATATTTTGGCAAAATAAGTTAAAATATGGGTTTGTTCAGTCATATTTTGGCACACTGAAATGTACAACATATAAGGATTATGCTGCAAGAATGGTGCAAGAAGTTTGTACATGCAATTTGATGCATCTTCACACACCATTAATCTTTCACGTGATAGGAAATCAAGCTGACTGCAAGTAGGAAACGACCAGTTTAGCAGACTCACTACAACCACTGCATTTGATCTATATTGTATCGAGATTATTTTATATATTGCGCTAAAATCAGGGTTTAATAATGTAAATGAAAAATGAAATGAGGGTTTTGACCATCATATATCTCCGTCCAGTGGTTACGCTAAGTGCTCTATATCTTGGTGAAATTTTGCGTAGATTATAAGGTAAATTTTGCTCAGTATAGAAAGTGTTTCAACTGCAACAAAAAAATGCCATCTTTATTTATGAATTTCTTTTGGAAACCAGATGTGAAAAAGCACATTTTAACTCACGTAAATGGGAACTGAGAAGCAGTGGTTCCTGTGACTGATGCTGCTGTCCACAGCCTGTTCAAATGGAAGCTTCCAGGCATATTTTATGAGATGGATTTCTTTTGTATTTGTTGTCGCCAGCCTCTTTTTTTTTTTTTTCCTAAAGTGTAAGTTTAAAGCCAAATTGATCAACAGTGTTGCGTCTCTCTCCTGGCAAGGTCATTTGTTTGACAAAGTGTCTTTTGAGTAAAGTAGGCCATTTCATTTTAGCCCAGGCGCTGTTAATGGAATGCTACTGATGGTACGTAAGGCGTAGGTGAAGTGCGTGTGTGCGTTTGCATGTGTGTTTGGCAGTTTGTGTGTGGCTTGTATCCATCACTGTGATAGTATCTCGTCACTGCAGTGCCCAAAGGGAAACAGCACACATCAACAAATGATGTGCATGCACACAGAAACACAAACACATGCACATTCACACTCTACCATTGGGATTGTAATGTCGTACACTCACATTGTTACAGAAATGAGTACTATGACAACTTCCTGCTTCAGTCCCTGTAACAGTATCTGTGACTAATTTACTTTTACCTCTATCAGCAAATCTGAATGAAACTGAATGATCCAGTGACTACATTTGATTTTGTCTTATTTGATTTTATACACTCCTGGGTGCAAAGATATCAGATGTCAGAGCTTGTTGTTTTTCTCAGGAAAAGGTAATCCAAAAAAAAACAGATCCAGGTTTTTCAATATGGATGGGATTTTGGGGGCGTGATGAAAGTATAAACTAAGAAGAAGTTGTGCAACAAATTACAGATCCTTAAAAAACAAGCTGTACGCTGATAGGATAGAACCACACAAGCCAGTGTGCTTTTCTTGTTACACTGAGTATGGTGTGTTGTTTTCCAAATAATCCTATGAAACGTACATCTTGTGTATGCTTCTTCACACCTCAGTAGCACTGGCCGACTCAGAGGGGGGGTTGGGGCAGAGGCGCACTTTGAACTTTAAGGTTTGGGTTTCTGTAGTGTGTACAACAGAGGCTTAGTTTACATGGAAATGAATAATCAGGATGCCAGCAGGTGAATTTTCATATAACGACTAATATGTCCAATGAGTGGTGGAATATTGCGAGACTTTCCCCCAAAAATACAAAAAACAAATCCACTATTAGCAATTCTCATTGTAAATGTTGTGTGCACATAAGGGATTCATGGATTCAGATCATGAGTGCACAAAGAAGACTGCTCATAAGTTCGGAACGCTGCTGTCAGCTTGTTGCTCAGAACGCTAAACTCTTGGAGTGGCAGAGCATACTCTGGGCACTAAGAGGACGTCTAATGCCAGGTTAACACTACACCACATTTTTGTCTGTTCCAACAGTCACTATGTCAGATTAGGCAGTTGTGGGGTTATAAAATTGTGATGTGACTTGGCCGACGGACAACAGGTTGGTCCATGACCAATCATTCCAGATCATCTTTCATGACGTGTGTGATGTCCTCGGGTTATTCTTGTCCTATTTTTTTTTTAATCATTACTATTATTTCAGTCACTGTGTCTGTTCACGTGCTAGCTGAAATGTTGTTGTAGTGACAAAAAAGCGCCACCAGATGGCAGGAGCTACATTTGAAGTACTGCATGAAAACTATAAATGTCACTGATTCCTTTTTTCACAATAAAGCCTGTTTAGAACAGGGATTCTCTCAACTGAAATTATAATGGGCTTTTAATTTTAAACGGGTACAGGAAGTGTTGAGTTTGAAATAACAGCGCAATGCATTAACTTTAACAAGGCAAACTGTAGCGGATTGAAAATAAAAATATAAAAATACAGAGGGAATACTAAGTAATGGCCCATTTCTAGTGTAGTCTGTTTCAAATGAAACTGATACCCTCTGCAGCTGTGGTAAGTCAAAGCCCCGCCATTAGTTTTTTAATTTTATTCCTTTATATCGGTCTCCATTATGAAGAAATAACATTCTTTGCTAGCCTGATGCTAATGGCTGTTCTCACCAGGTTGATAAAGTGCCTCTGTTTGACAACATCATTTTTCCTTTTTTACTCAGTGTGGTAACATCCCTAGAGGAAATATCAAAAAGCGTGTGGTGTTGATATCATACAGTTGTCTATGGCAGCAGATCACTCTGTGTTTCTATTGGTCAAAGTGACTGCTGTGATGGGAGAGGTCGTGAAAGACAAAAAGAAAATCAAACATGCTAGACCTTGTGTTGGAGGCGTCCCAGACGTGGTGTCGGTTGTCCTCTATTATGACACACTACATGAGTTGAAACAACAGATTATTGTACACGAGTTCACGTGTAGTGTGTACCCGGCTTAAGAAGATGAAGCAGCAGAGCCCTATCCATTTTAATGTAACCATTTGTAAATTTGTAACTGGTAAAGTAGAACGCTCGATTTCTTTGGACAACAGTGCTCTTATTTTAGTCTAGAGTGTCAGATTGGATAGATGAATGCATCCACATCTGTCAGCTAAAAGAAGCAGGGGCAGTCCATCAAGACACAAGGATTTAATTTACTTTTATGAGTACATAAAAGGACCACAACAAGTTATCATCTTGGTTTCTATTTCCATCACTAACACAACACAGCAATATTCTTATCATGTATTTATTATCAGTGTTATTAGAAAACAAATAATAATAATATTTAAAACCCAACATGTGTGTTTAACTGTTGCCATTTGGGGGTTTGGTGAGCTGCCTGAACTAACACACCCTGAAAAAACATGCCCTTGTGGTTCCCCCTATGGTGGATAAAACAAGTGTCCTCTACAGTGGCCCAGTGTGCAAAAAAAGTGATTAGGGGCCCTCAAGGGTGCCCTTCCAGTGGAGAAAATCCATTGCAGCACCATATAGGTTGCATGCTAGAAAACTTTTCTGTGTGCTGGTGCCCCACGGCATGCAGCTGGTGCCCTTGTTTTTTTGTTTGTTTGTTTTCAGCCTGACAGCCTGAGTGTGCCACTGTGCAGGAGCAACTGTATTTAACTTTTCCTGTGTTAAACTGCTTTACCCATTCCCAATAGCTTTTGATTTAGTGAGATTTTCTATCACAGAGATCCCTCTGCTGACACTAAAGCTGTGTCCTTTACAAGCTGTCTTTATCTGTGAAATGACAGTCCCATGTACATTTACATATGGCTGTCAAGAAGCGAGGCGCACAGGCATACGGCAGCCCATATGACTACGACAGGCGTGCGGGGAAAAAGTGGACAGACGTTCACCATGAAGGGACGACAGTACAGTGAGTCAGATAGGAATCACTACGTCTCTGTCAAATCCAGCCAGAGACCTTCAGAGGAGCTTGCAAGCAGATGAACACATGATTGAAGATAGCTAGTAGGTGGTGGCAGAGATGCTTTGGCTTCAGTTGAACACGCCACACACAGTTGTAAAGCACACACAAACACACACGTTCATACATTTACCAGGTGACTGCAGATGCCAGACAATCAGACTGACCATCCAGCAGTGTATCCAGGAACTAGTTGTGAAAGAATATGGTTGTGCATGGAAGTTTTAGACGGAAGTTTTTCTCTCAGAATTTCATTCCAATTCAAATCTGTTGAATAGCTTTATGTACATGACACTTATTATACAGTATATATATTGCAAGAGCAGAAGGTGACAAATTTATTCACAATTCTTAAGTCCAATACGAACAAAAAAACTTTTATGCCATTCCTCATTCAGTATCCTGCCTATTTTTCTCAAGGTGTAATCGTGACACATTTGAAGGGACTCTGCTTAATGCTGCATTAATGCTGCACACCAATTTTAAGTTGTCACTAGCCTTGTATGTATAGTTTACTTGTTATATGACATATGTATTCTCTTTCTCTCTGTCTTTTCTGCATCTGTCACTCCACAGTAACTAAGACAGTGTGTGCCGAGCAGTGTGACGGACGTTGCTTTGGTCCCTATGTTAGTGACTGCTGCCATCGTGAGTGTGCAGGTGGCTGCTATGGGCCAAAGGACACAGACTGTTTTGTAAGTGAACACACACACACTTTACAAACAAAGTACATGTTCAAACCAGTTGTCGACATGGTAATATCATACAATTCCACCAAAAACACATTTCCTGATCATACTGTACTTTACATCTCCTGTTATTCACAAACCTGACACATTTTACTCATGACTTTTATCTTCCATTGAATCAAGGTACTCCTGCAAAAGGATTTCTGCCTTTCCCTTTTTTTTCTTTTTTTTTTTATTAAAATGCCACATATATGGCAAATACTGTTAAATGACATTTAATTCCCATTTCTTCCTGACATGAGTGTCATTGTTAAATACAGACTTCACCAGCCTCCCCTCCATTCTGGCTCTTTGGTGTGTGCTTTATCAGTTTTATTTCCACCCCCCTGCATGTTAAACTTGTTTCTGTGCTTGGAATTCAGAGTCCATCACTGAAGGAGCTCCTCTGCTCGACTTTGGAAGGGCAACTCCTTGCTCTTTTTTTTTTTCTTTTCTTAATTCTTCATACTTCATCTTTGCAAAAATGGATAAATCAGGAAGTCATTTTGAATTACTCTTTAAATGAGAGAGCAAAGTCTGGATTGTCTCCTATCAAATAAATTGATTGTATTAAGACAAAAGATCTTATCTCCAGAGCATTAACATAGATATGTTTTTTATTACCACAATTGATTAATTGGGCTTATCTTACAGCTTGGACTAAGCATACACTGTCTAATAAATGCTTTCAGTAATTTGAACACTCTTTCACTGCCTGTTTTTCCTCTATCACTGTTTCCCCCGACTGACACCTAATCTTTTAGTAAACATCAAAAATGAATAAATCAAGGACTCATTTTGAACTGCATTCCACCTGAAAGAGCAAAAGCCCCAACTGACTGACTGAAAGTCAGAAATTTCGGCATATTGTAGGTAACAGGGAAAAAAACAAATATCAGTTATTATATCTTTATCACAAAAGGTTCTAACTTGCTCATTCCCAATATAGCAATGTAATACAGCAATATAAAATGTCTATCCAGGAGAGTGCAGTGTTTACTGTAGTAGATAATGGACATACATTGACCATTAGAACAAGGAATGCAGGTGAAGATTTTCATATTCAGTTTCATTCATTTAAAGGGATACTTTGCTGATTTTCAACCAGCTCTGTGTCACTGCAGTGTGGGCAGAGTGTGCAGATGAACGTTGCAAACGCACATGCAAACGCACACGCTCCGTGAGCTGGCGGCAAAGGGAAGCCATCACCATTCATCTGCACACATGGCCTACATTGTAGTGACACAGAGCCGGTTGAAAATCTGCAATATATCCCTTAAACATTTTAAGCTCATACTAAAGACTCTGTTTTCAAGTTTTACACCACAGACCAAATCACAATGCTTTTTCAGAATAACTTGTGGGTAGAACACCCCCTGCTTCAGGCACATACAAAGAAAGACTACTGAGCATACGCTGCCTCACTTGATTAGTTTTTAGCCACCTAAAAAAGGTAAATTATAAGAAAACAGCCTTGTCCAGTGGGGAACTGAAATGGTTATTTCAAAGTCAAAGGACTCCATCTCCAAAAATGTGTCATTTAAGAACACGAGAGTTCCTGGTCTACTACTGCCCTCATCAGTTAGTGTGTATTAGATTTATTGAGGACATTTATATAGGAGATCAATGGTTAAAATAAGTTTGAGTTTAAGCAGTACACTGCTTAGCTTCTTATCAAAGAATCTAACAAAGCAACACAGTACATGAAATAAAAACAGCAGAAAATCAGGTAGGTAGGGCCACCATGTTCACCTATATGTCTGTAAACTTTACAGTTATAGCTTAAAATGAGCACAGAAATAAACAAGTAGCCAATGTCACATGTCTCAACAATTTAAAACAATCGCCAGTTGTCTCTTCGGAAGTGGTAGTACAGCGTCAAGGTGATTCAGTCTATAAAGTAGCTCTCTGTGACCTTGGTGGTCCATCCATCGTTACTGAGAGCAGTGAAGGAGCATTATAGCATTTAAACTATATAGTTATAATGGACAGATTGAGATGATGTCATTGTAGATGGTTTGCATCTTTTATTGTGTGTGTTTCTAACACTTTTTGTCCACGTTTTTCCACATTGACCACAGATTTTTGTAAGCCAAATTTAAGCCTATGTATCTGCTAGAAAAGGCAAATCTGACTTTGACCCGATGGTAATTTCACTGGGTGCATGCAATTATTCTCCATCCGCACCATGAAATAATGTCACCTCTGGAGGGAAACCTCAGTTCAAAGCTGGTGTAGTGAGATTAATGTTTGCATCGTCTCATGGTGTTTGCAGGCCTGCACCAACTTCAATGACAGTGGGGCATGTGTGACCCAGTGCCCCCAGCCCTTCGTCTACAACCCCACCACCTTCCAACTGGAACACAACCCCAGGGCGAAGTACACCTATGGAGCCTTCTGCGTCAAGAAGTGCCCGCGTGAGTCTTATCACCTGGACACACACATGCACAAATAATTTTGGTGAAGGATCGTTAACAGAAAGATGAGTGAAAAGCACAAGCAAGCTACTAAATGTTACACTATAGGATGTAGGCTGAAAACAAATGCTTCATGCTGATTACCAGATTTCTTTTTTCAAAGTAAAAAAATGGGGATGATAATCTCTTTATTCACAGATATTCAGTAAAGCTTGCTGTTCATGCTGAGGCTATTTCTCCCCTTGGCAAATATATAGTGTTACATTTAGGGAATAAAATAAATAACATATTCAGAAAATACATTGAATCTCATCGATTGCTGCTGTCTCTGGGGATTAGAGAAAAGTTGATTAGTTGATACATGAAGCACGCCATAGAAAACAACTAAAATGCTTAAATGCTTGTGTATTACCACACATCTGTCAAAATAAGCCATTATATCCCTATTTGCATAATGCCAGCATAATACCTAGCTCTTAGCAAAGATCATAACTTTGCAAACACACACACACACACACACACACACACACACACACACATTCACACTCGTGCATTTTCATAGTCTGATTTTTATGGACTGTACACACACATACATGCAGAAAATATCTTATTAGCATTTGAACACCACCTCTTCATGCTGTTTGCCTTCCTGCACAAATAGAAGTTTTGCCATGAACAAGAACAACGATGAGATACGAGGGATGATTGAGTTGTTTTTACATCTTTAGCTTGTAATATCCTTGTCATAGTTGCTGGAAGATCATTTCACAGAGAAAATGCCGTTAGTGTCAATACAGCTTATTTTATGTTGTCCGAAGTTACTTGTGCATGTGAGTCAGGACACTGTCACCAGTCTTCACTTCTACAAAGGGCTGTTTAAGGATTAAAACTAGGTTTTAAGGTAAGGGTTAGAATTAGGCTAAGGGATGGGGTTGGGCATTTAGGTGTGGGGCAGGTTAGAGTAAGGAATGCATCATGACAGGAAGAAGTACAGTTTGTGTGTGTTTCTCTGGGCCCAAATGCCAAGGTCTTGAGATCCATAGGCAGAGAGGACAGGATAGGAGACAAAAGGGATTTCTTACTGTGGTGAATGTAAAATTAATAGATACATCAGAGCAGGGCCTCCTTTGATTTTAATATGCAAGCATTTGCCTCTGTTTACACATTAGCCACTAAGACAACACAGGATAAACAATAAACACTTACCTCACATCCCAGTTTTATGAAGACAGAGAAAACCACATATCTACAAATTGGTGACAAATTTCAGGAAAAGCTTCATAAAGTGTGGATCCAAAACACAGTTAGCAACACGTCTCTTCCTAAGTGGCCGCACAGGAATTCAATAGAATAATCATGATCATGATGACTACAAGGTGATGCGTTTCCGGTTGGCCCAGTGTCTTTGGCATAACGTTGTATTTTAGGCATGAACATTTTTTATTCTCATCTGTGCTAATCGGGAATTTTGGTGATTAACCTTGATTGGATGATTAAATCAGTGTGGCAAGCGTAAGCACAGGGGCCTAAATATAGACAGTGCAGGTGGTTCGGTTGCAAAGGGGCCCATGGGATGGGGGTGTCAATAGAGAGGGCAGGCCCTCCAGCAGCGTGCTGGCCAGAGAACAGGCTCTTGAAACTCTTGCAGACTGCCACCTCAGAAATACACCCATGTTCAAAGAAGAACACATGTTCATGTTGAACTAAAAAGTGGGGCCAAACTTTACAGAAACTATAAAACAACAAATAAACTATAAAAAATATTTAATTGAATGAATACTTTCTTATATTATTTTATGTTTTTGTCACATACATATTTGCACTGATGATTGCTAGGTAATATGTGTGTTGCTGTTGTCCATTGTCAAATCGTAGCTAGACCCAAAATCTTACACCAGGGCCCGTCATAATAAAGTGCAATGGGGCCCTTCCTAACTACCATACACCACTGTATAAGCGTCAACAGGAACTGCAGTTCCATTTTGGTGTCAAGGATGACTGGAGTTTGTGCTTCTCACCTGCATGCATATACCTCTTTAAATATGGCACAAGGCATGGTCGTCCCTGAAGAGACCGTCTGAATCTTGGTCCTGGTTCACACGTGGTTGTGGTGTGAATGACCCAACAGAATCTAAAGGGATTAAGGAGGAGGCTGCCTCTATTACAAATACAAGGACCTGGTTGCAGAACACTTAATACCTGAAGCAAAGCTTTTCTTGAGGTCATGGGTAACATCTGTTTGGTGCCTTTGCTCAGTACCTTTGAATTGTCTCTTGCATTGGGCTATGAATCTTCTCAGAATACCAAGACCAGCGAGTTGGTCTGCATCACCATGATATCTCCTCTTACTGCCTTACAACACTGTTAATCTTGGTATTAATCCTTTGTTCTATGACTACTACCCTGCTAACCACCAACCACTCACCAAGTGCACAGCTAATTGTGGACGCCCCACACTGTTTCTCAACATCAGTGAAAAGGCCAACCAGCAGGGAGGGGAGTGGGACTTGTGCTTCAGGCAGCGTTACTTAGACATGCGGTATAATGTGACCATTTAAATGTTTAGTGTGATGAAAGTAAGTCTCTTACTGCTGCTTAAAACAGTGATGTTTCTATGTATATTTCAGGCTTGTTTAAAGGGGAGCACAAAATGAAGTGTCTCTTTTGTTTTGTGGTAGTAGTAGTGTGCTGGTCTGTGGTTGGTAATATGATAAGTATGTGAGTTCATTTTCCTTCAGTATGGGTTGTTCTCCCAACTAAATAGGGACTTTTAGAAATGAAACAGAGTCCAATAAAAAGCCAATTTCATTAAATATTTAAGTTGGCATGCTTAAAACTTCAAACATGGTTTAACCCTTTAATGTAATCCATGTGCAGTCAGGAAAGCTTCAGTCAGACAAAGAGAATGAAAGTGACTTTCAGCACTTTTTTTTATGTGATTGCCTTCACCAAGTGCCACTTATTGTACTGTATGTTCCAGCGTGACAAACAGCAGCCATCTGTATTTGACATTTATGGTGAATTGTTTTTCAGATAACTTTGTGGTGGACCATAGCTCCTGTGTGAGAGCATGCCCCAGCAACAAGATGGAGGTGGAGGAGAACCGCATTAAGATGTGCATTCCTTGTACTGACATCTGCCCAAAAGGTACATCATAAAGAGATATTTAAAAATATATAAACTAATCAGTAATTGATTATGTTTCCACTTATGTGGCCATTTATGAAGTTGTTAAAGCAAATCATTTTTGGTTATCTATCACTGTTAATATTGGGCATGCCAAGAGGATGCTATGTATAGCATTTGGACATTAATAAATCATTACCACAGTAACTCAGAGACATATAATCACAAAAAACAATCAAATTCTAATTTTGGGGGTTAATTGGGATTAAAATTAAATTTATTTTTGAGAAATACTAACACTGCCTGGCAGCTGCATCATCCACTGCCCCCCTTTATACACTATTAAAATGCCACATATTCAATCCCTTCAAATCTCAATCATCTAGACATGCTGGTGTTATAAAGGCATTTATATCTCACTGTGCGTTGCAGCGTGTGATGGCATTGGTACAGCCAGCCTACAGTCGGCTCAGACAGTGGACTCCAACAACATCGACAAGTTTGTCAACTGCACCAAAATCAACGGCAACCTGGTGTTCCTCATCACTGGGATCAAAGGGTGAGAGTTGAGAATATTGAATGTACCAGAATGATAGAAGAGGGATCTCTTAATGGAACTGTGATTACGTTTGTATGTTTTACGTTCTGTGAAAAGAGTATAGCTTTTAATTAATGTTAAAGTGAAACATGTTTTATATGTGAAATTTTATATGATAAAAGTAGATTTTCAGTGATTTAACACAGGCAATCTTGAAATTCAGAATATTTTTTCAGCTTTTAAAAAAGCGAAAGCATTTCTTTTTTAAGCATTTTTTTTAAAATCTCTCAGCTCAATTCACACCTCGGCAAATGCATTCAGCATGGATACCTTTGGGTATACAAAATACATTGCAAACACTAATGGTTAGATTTTTTTTTCACACATTCCACTTTTAATGTAAAGTGCTAGAGATAAGAAAGCCTGGATAAGAAAAATGTAGGAATGGTGTTAATTGCCTGACTGAATACAAGTCATGGCAAGTGGGAAATGAGTATGCTGAAAGTGCCTTGAGAGTTAGAAGAGCAGTAGTAAATGTATTAATAATAAATAACTATACGGAGCGTAAAGGAATTCAATATTTGGAATTGAGCTATCATAGCTCAATTCCAGACCTGCCAACCTGTACGCATTTTGCATACCAGGCACGCATTTTGACATCAAAGTACAGTGGTACAATTTGATGCTCTAAAAGTACGCACATCACTCATTCGTTTCAGTGTATTTGTCTATGCTAGCCTCGTGTCACCAGGCTCTTCACGTATGGCGAAGAGCCTGGTTTCCATTCACTCTGAATTTTGTCTGGATTCTGGTTCCGGTCTAGAGAGTGGATCCGGAATTCACCAAATTCACCAAAGTAAAAGTGTTCACCAAAGTAAAACTTTAAATTCTGGCGCACCATCGATTTACAATAAAAGAAAAAGGTTAACTTAATGGCTTGGGGCTTTTCTTGTAAATTCTATTCTTTAATTTTCACCGCATTTCTATTAGCTTGGTGCTTTTATTTTGACGGAAAGGCACATCCATCAAATTCTGGATCCTGTCTCTCTCGCCCTGGTTCCGGTTCCTTANATGGGTAACTGCCCGGCTTGACACATTCGCTCGCGGCTCGCGCAGAAAATAGACCTGACGCCGAAACGATCACTGCAGGGAAGCTCCGCGGCCGGTGTGGATGACACAATCGGTTAACATGGGCACCGAAAGATAACTGGCTTTGCTTCTCGCCGCTTCGAGGCTATTCACAGCGCTTCCGTGGGCGGTGTGGCCCTGGCGTTACGTGACCAAAGATCGTCTCTGCCTGAAATACACATTACTCTGCCAGGAAACCAGTCGATACCAGCACCGTTCTACAGTAACAAAAAAATGCATTTTTCGCTGATAAAAAAATAACTCGCCAGAGTGGCGAGTGGTCTTAAAAATTTACCAGCCAGAGACAAAATCTACCCGTAATTGGCGAGTGGCGAGTGTTCGTTTTGTACCCTGCACATGGACGGGCACATCAAGTGTCCAAGTGCCTAAGTGTGATCAAGCGCACATAATGGGACAGGCCCAAACCCTCTTCGCCCACACCTCTGGTTAGTCCTCAGTGATGACGTTATAGCCAATTCAAACAACGCTGAAAAGGTAAAATGACGCGAGAAATGCAAAAATTGAGAGCTTTGAAAGCTTCTGTCTGTAAGCAGTTAGCTTGTGTCTGTAAACAGTTAACTACAGTCTCATAGCAGTTAGCTTGTCTGTTAGCAGTTAGCTCCTATTAGTGCCGCCATCACCAAGTCCTTTTTTTTACACCCTCTAGTGTGTGTGTGTGTGTGTGTGTGTGTGTGTGTGTGTGTGCGCGTGCGCAACGGGGCCAAACTCCGCCGTGCGCGATACAGAGAGCAGAGAAAATAAAATTAGATAAAATTAACTTGACCTTCAAGGGGGGGCGGGGCGCACCCCTAATATAATGGTAGGGGAAACACTGAAGTAAATAGCATCGAAGTCACATGTCCTTGATACATTGCTGGGGAGAATTGTACCAAGGTAAGCAAATTGCAGACAGATTTACATTCAACTGCGTTATGAAACCATGTGCCCTGTCTGAATAACTAAAACACACTTATGATAAAAAGACTTTTTGTTTGATGAGTCTGCTGAATTTCTTTAAGAAAAAACAAGGCAATAAGAAGAGAGTAGTTCTAATAGGTGGCTTACTACACAAGAACTTAGTGAGGAATGCTAATGTAATGCACTTGTCTATGATCTATTATCTATTTCTGTATGAAATTGCATGAAAAAAGGATTTCTGTATTTTTTAAGCAGATGATCAATACTACCATCAGATTGATGAAATTGACCTTGATCTGTGCCGTAAAACAAATATTGGGCGTCTATGGACGTATGTGGGGCTTAAGCCTATATGAGTATGTAAATGTATGCTCATGTCTTTTGTTTGCAACATGTGCATATTGGCTTTTATGAAAAAAAAAAAAAAGAAGTGCTGCCGTGTCCACATATGTTCATGACCACGCACGAGTGTCCGGTGTAATGTTGAAGAAGTTGTTAAATATGTGAGGCTACTTTGTTCCTATAAATTCTGACCTCTGCAAATCTTTACTGTGGTCCTGGGCGGCTACCGTACATGCGTGACAAATAAACAGGAAGTGAAGCTTGTTCTGTTTGAGCAAATAAACGAGGACAGCTGAGCAAGACAAAGATGAAAACAATGCAGAATAAAGATAGCCACGACAATAAATATAGAACTGAAGAAAATTACAATAAAAATATGAAAGAATGTTTTAAAATATGTGTATATCTCTGAATTCAAAGAGCTGTAATTTGTGCAGAAATATGCAAAATTACCCACCAAATGTGCAAATGTTCACAATATAAACTAGACAAAGCAAAATATACGCATTATATGTAGGTAGATGTAAGGTATGTATGCATGCAAGTGATAATTCACAAGTATTTCTGCAAAAGCACAGATAAAATGTCTGACTGATTTTATCTGATATTCTAAATTGTCATGTTCTGTGTTTGGGTGAGTGCAGCTCATTTTTCATTGCTGTGATTAAGAAGCACCTGGCTTATCAGTGCAGGGTAAAATGCCATTGTTATGATCTTTCTATTTTCATTTGTGCTGTTCTGATCTCCCATTATCATTCACAGGGATGTCTATCACAACATTGAAGCTTTGGACCCAGAAAAACTCAATGTATTCCGCACCGTACGGGAAATCACAGGTGAGTAATGTCACTTGCACATCATGAATCTCTGCACACGCATATGAATTAATAAACAAATAAAAAAATGAATAAAATGTTCTATATCATAATCCGTTCCCTTCCCCTTTCTATTGCCATATACGGTGTGCGCATATGTGATGTCTATGTGTGTATCAGCGTGTGTATTTGCTCAAGACTA